TGCAGAATCCCCCCCTGGCTGCTTCACTATGGAAGCCATTCTGAAGCAGCCAGGGGGGGATTCTGCATGAGCCAAAAAGCAGAGACAGGACCAATTGTCAAAATTTTGGTGTCGATCATTCGAATGCATCCTGGACACTACAGAAAATGGGCTAAAAGTGTTAAAAACCGGAATTTTCCTTTAAATGCTGAATGTCAGCTTAGTGGATATATGTGCTGCATTCAGTTGTTTTGGGCTCATCTATGGGCTCTATGCACAACTTAATCAGTACGTTAATGGGTAGACTGATTCATCCAGGTGTGTGTGGCTATGGTTACTGCAGTCAGGCACACCTGGATTAATCAATTCATCCAGTAGAAAAAAACCAGGAAACAATAGAGCTGCCTTAATTTCAGGAAGTACTGGAAATGTGCATAGAGCCAATTCTTAGTGTAGATCAGGAGCTTTTATATTAGATATTTAAGCTGCAGTTGGGGCGTATAGCCTGGAATCCAGAGGTTCTGAGTTCAATACTGCAGCTCTGGGTCCATGAGCAAGACCGTTATCCCCACACTGCTCCCTGGGCGCTGCATAATGGCAGCCCACTGCTCCCCAAGGAGATGGCTTAAATGCAGAGTTCATTACATTGTTTTGTACTTGTGACGGTGGAATGACAATAAAACGCTGGAAAAGAAAAAAAAAAAGGAATTTACTGTTAATGTAAAAATATTTAGAAAATGAAACTAATGATTTTAATTTTTAGATGCTCCAATGTTGTTAATGAGAGCTGCAGGCTAAATGAACCATTTAGAGTCAGAAGGTGATGCTAAACTAACCTCTGGACTCTGGCGGCCATCTTTTTTTATTTAAAGCGGCCGGAGTTATCGCAGTTAACTGGTCCTTCTCTTAAAATCCCATCTAGATTAAATAAGCCGCTTTCTTTTATTGCTTCAAAGTAATAAATCTTTTTTTCAGTTTTATAAACATAAAAGCAGAGTGTGAATGAGTGTGAATGAGTTCAAGCTAGCAGCTTAAACTGCAGACTGAAGTTGAACATGAAACCTGCTACCGAAGGATGAAAAACGGCCCTTTATTGTTTCCTCTGGCTGTTTAAAGCAGATTTCTGCTCTGGTCAAAACAGAAAACTGCCTTTTAGTTAAACCACACCTCTTCTCTTGTTTGACTTTATTATGTGAACGTCAGGCTTCCTGACCTGCCTGCTTCCATAAGCATTTCCTGATAATCAGTAACAATAAGCTTGTTTGTTTGTAAATCAAAGAAAACATGGAGATAAACTGTCTGAAGGAAAATATTTTCCTTCCCCTCGGCTGGCATTAAATTTCATTTCAAAAGAAAAAAGCTCAGCTTTGTAATAAGCACGAGTCGTTGTAGTAAATTTGTCCCACAATGTTTTTTCTTTGACTGAAAATAGTTGAAAGGTTGTTTCCCTGAAGTTGTCGCTGGTTTACAGTAGAAAACAGTTTTTTCTCTGTGCTTCTTCTCAATCTAAGCTTCCATGTTGGATCTGTTAGCTTGTTAATGATGCTTTGGTTCATCCGTGATGCGTTCTCCTTTCATATCTGAGCCTGGCCAGGTGCTGCAGGGTCAGGCTGTTCCAGTTAACACGCTGCAGCGTAGCCTCAACTGGTTTCTGTCTTATCTGTCGACGCAGGATGTGTGTGCAGATCACTGGGACAACCCAAGCCCCGCCCCCGCTCCCAGCACAGAGCAAGGCCCGTGGAAAGGTCAGAACGGGCAGCCAGTGAACGGCGTCCTCAGCAGGTACAGCTAATGATTACTTTCATGGGAGATTTCTGGGAAAGAAGAGCAAGATGTTCACAGAACTGCTGCTAATTATCAGACTGAGTCCGTTCATCTACAGGAGGGTCTGAGAGCTCCATGGAGGGGGGGGGGCAACATTTATAATAGAGTACATTAATGAGCGTGTCCCATGAAATAAGTAAATCCTGTATTATTTTTATTTAGTGGATGAATCAAGTATTTTAAACGGAACATGAAATTGTAAAATCATTAGAAAATAAACATTTAAAATAATGAATTAAATGACATTTTAATGAATACATTTATATCAAAATTTAAATAATTACTACAGTTGGAGCTATTTTTTTTATCCATTTGAAGTGTGTCAATCTATTCCTAAATTCATTTTTTTGTACCATTTACAGAGTTTATTTGCAGGTTAATAACTGTTGATTCTATTTATTTTTTATTATTTTAATTTTTTTGTTCTGAGGTAAGACAGGAAGTGATGTGGATCAGTCCACTTTCCATAAAGCCGGGCATACACTGTGCACTATTTCAAACGTTGCACGAAGCTACAGCTCGCACTGTACGGCGAAACCGCAGGGTTAGAGACTGAAATTTTTTCGGGAATCCCACGGGTCACGGGATTCCCGTGGGATGGGAGTCAGTATTAGTAACGATCACGTGATTGGGACGGTACAGGATTAAACATTAACGGGAGCAGACGGGAGCGGGAGCAAACCAATAGTAACTAAAAAAAAAAATCTAGGATCGATGCCAAAAAATAAAAATAAAATGGAAAGGAAAAAAATTCCAGTACTGGCGCCGCCATTTTGTGTTTTTTTTCCTTGAAGCCTACACTATAATGCAAGTCAAAAAAACTACACGACCCAAAAACCATTTATAATTATTATTCCTTTTACTTTAACTGACCTTTACTGCAGTTAGAAACAGGAACTTAACTGAACCTTCATAGAAATTCAGATTCAATGTATTGGCAGAAATCTTATTGAAGACAACAAGAATGGGAGCGGGATGGGAGTGGGAGTAATTTCACCAGGAGTGGGACGGGACAGGATTTAGATTTCTACTCTGGCCCGGGATCGGGACGGGACACCATTTTTTTTCTGTGGGAGTGGGACGGGACAGGAGTGAAAATCCACTCCCGTCTCAGTCTCTATCGTACAGTGCAAGTTCACAGCTAATGATGTCTGCGCAGCCTCGTTAGAGGCTGATCACCCCTCGTTAGCTCCTGTACATTACTGGACGCACCATCAGGCTGAACGTCGGCCCAATCCAAACATTCTCGCACGACTGGAAAGTCGTCCCAAAAAGGGCAAAAAATCGCACAGTGTATGCCTGGGTTTAGTGTAGAAACAAAGCAAAGTTTGAACAATCAACAGATTTGAACATTAAACCTTCCTTCGTCTGCGTACAGAATCTTGACCCCAGCGCCTCAGCAGTGGCTTAATGGAGCTTTTATTGGATGTTTGGCAAACAAATCACCACTACAACTACTTTATATTTAAAGAAAAAAATTACACATTAAAAAGACATTTTTATGTAGATATATATATGGTGCTTTTAGGCTGAAATGTTTTGGGACTGGGGCTGAGTAATATACGATTAAAAACGTATCACAATATTGGCTGATGTTATTATTATAACAATAAAAGTGAGGGGAAAAATCAATTACTACTTTCTCAGGTAGCTCAGGCTGACTGCTCACCACAGCAAGCATTGCACCACCATCACTAATAATAGTCTTAGAGAATATACACACTTATAATCAGCTTCTTCAGGACGCCAGTTACACAACAAAGTATAATTGATATCATTAAACTTCACACAATAATTGCATTAAATAATTTTCTTCAAATCTGTCGATGGAAACAAAATGAAAGAAAAAAAGGCAAAGTAGTAAACATAAAGATCCTGAAGATTGACCCAGTTTCTAAAGTTTTTAAATCATCATTGATGCTAAAATCATGAATAGAAACTTTTCCTGATAAAGAACCTCTAAATCATCAGATCCGTCCTCCGTGGCGTCCTGTTATTAGTCCAGTTTTTGATGGAACCACGGTCGAAGCTTTCTTCATCCTTTATCTCCTCCCGTTGTCGTTGCAGGATGGCTGACGGCTCAGAGAACAAACTCCAGCCGCCTCACGATGGCACGTGCGTGGCCGCGCGTACACGCCCACTCGTCGGCTGCCGGCGGCGGCGGCTCATTCAGCCGAACACGGTGACGAACCTCAACGGCAAGGTGAGACTTACCACACCGCCTGTCCCAGCTTTCATTTTAATCGTCAGATTCCTGATCTGTGACGCATCTTTGAACACTTTAAAAACTCAGAGATTTAGTTTTTGTTTAGTAAAACCGTTCAGTGTTTGTTTTTTCATCCAGCCTCGATGAATGGACTATTGTTCTCGCAGCATCTTGTTTTTACATCGCACTTTGATGAGTGTCTTCTGTAACCTAATAGCTGAGTAAACAAATGGCTGCTTGTATGTGGAAAACGGCGAGCTGCAGGCGGCAGATCGCCGTTTTCCATCGAGGGAAGTGAAAAAATGGCTAATTGTAAACCTGAGATGCTTCTAAATTTAAAGGTTACATTTATCCTGCAGGGTCTTTTTATAGTAACTTCATGTTTGAAGTACTACTTCTAGGTTTTTGTTGTTATTGAAATGCATGTATACATGTATGTCTCTGTAGAGGCATAAAAATATGAATTCTTTCTGTAATTCATCCAGATTTTATGTTCCATATATTAGCAGCACTTTTCTTTTCTTTTAGTTTTTTTTTTTTTAATTCCGACAAAATCTTATTAACTCAGTTGAGGAATTTGGGTTTTGATGGAAATGCAAACCCTGAGAAGCAGAGATTGTTGGAAGGAGGTGACGTCCAGAAGAAATCAGCTTCAGCTTCCATGTTCAGATCCTCCACGTTCTTCTGCCGCCTCTTCATTGTTTCTAAGCCTGTCATCAGTCGCACCAGTTCCAGTTTAGGTGGTTTATTCTACTCTATTCAGCCAGATTATTTATATGGAGGTTTATCGTTTATAGTACTGTAGTTCATCAGCTTCCCGGCTCCAGCAGGGTTCGAAGTTTCTTCCGGATGGCGTTTTTTCCCCAAGATTCTTCCAACCGGAAGAAACAGTTTCTTCCAGTTTCCTCAGGAAGAAACTGGGAAGCTCTGATTTACTGGAAAGTTTTGTTTCTTTTGGTGAATGTTTTGCCTTAAGCAGGCCTGAATCCAGTTATAAACTGGGTTTCAGTATCTATAAACCAGAGAAGTTTGGGGGCAGGAATAGCAGAAATGGAATCTGAGTATAAAAGAAAGCGTCTAAAGCGTATTAGTTATTGATCATGTCTGTAATTCCCTGTTGGGTTTTTTCCCCAAAGGTTCCTTTGCAGGTTTTGTGACCAGTAGTTGTTCATTCATCTAGATTTGTTTTACATACACTTAATAAATTATATAATTCTTAATTAGATAATGATTTCTCGTTATGTAGCCTGGTGGATATAGGGAGTTGAATTTTTCAATGGAAATATCCCAGTTCTCCAAAATATGATCTATGACCAGGAATTTCTTCCAGTTTCCTCTGGAATAAACTTAACCCTAGGCTCCAGTTTGAAGAGGTGTTGAATGAAGAACCATAACTAACTAAACTGCAGCACTAACAGCGTTGTTAGTTCAGTATTTCCTGTTTTCTGTCGGTCTTTTCTCTGATCTGTGGGTGTGAAGGGAGCTGACTTTAACCCACCCTGGGATTGTCTCCCGACAGGCCCAGAGGAGCAGCTGCATGCAGTGTAACTGCAGGGTGAACCCCAGCTGCGTGATGTGTGGTGGCTGGCCCACCCCCAGAGAGGAGCCTCAGTACGAGCTGCCCACCCTGGAGCGCCTGTCAAGGCTGGATCTTGGCGTCCACCCCATCCTCTCCTTCCCTGACGGTCAGTGCTGGGCTGGAGTTTACGCAACCGTTTCCTACTTTACATCTTGGAGAGGAAGGCAAACAAGGAGTGGCTGTAGAGAGGCGGCCCGGCAGGAAATTCTTAGACATTTTCAGCTTTCCTTTTTTTTCCTGTCTTCTAATAGTTTTTGCTCAGTTGCTTTTGCTTCTCAGAATTCTATTCAGTTTATTTCTATAGCTCCAATTCACATCATGTCATCTCAGGTCACTTTCCAGTTCAACCAGATCATCCAGTCAGATTGATTCAAAGTTTTCTATCTAAGGAAAACCAGCTGATTGCATCGACTCATTGACTTTTCAGCAGAGATGTGAAGTAACGAA